GATCAATAAATCATAACAACTTGGGGGAAAGGATCACAAAAGGTTTTTGTGCTCTTCTATACTTCCCAGCCTACCTTGCAGTTAGGTTGAAGTCATGTGACTAGCTCCAGCCAATGAAATGTGAGAGGGGAATGGCATTTATAGGCTAAGACAGTTAAAAGCCTGTGTATCTCCTACATCTCCTTCTACCTCTGCAGCAGCATCCTTGGTGAGAGTGTAGCTGTCATATGTAAGGAGTCTGGATCCCTGAATCACCACCAAAAAAGAACTTCTCAGGAGAGCTTCTGGGCTGTATTGGACTTTGTGTGAACATCAAATACAAGTTGATTGTTTTAAGCCACTATGACTTGGGTGTTTATGTTACTACAGTTTAGCCTAGCATTATATTGTCATTATTATTGTTTTTATTACTGTTACTGTTGAACAGAACTACTCCCAAACATTGGCACTTTTAGTGGTATGTGGTGCTAAAGGATTAGCTTCTGCCCTCAGTAATGGGAACATAAACATATTGCTGTTGCACATAAAATCCCTAATTCTTCCGCAAACATAGATTCCAAGAATGTCAAACTAAAATAAAATAGGAAGGTGAAAAAAGTGTGTTAAAATTTCCATTTGGCTCAGCAGCTAAATCCTCTTTATTCAGGCTACCTTATTTCCTTAAAACCCTGACTCTAAGAGTCAATGCATATTTTCATGACATTAAAAAATGATGCACTTTTCTATCAAAGTTTTAGAAATTGTTTCCTTTCTTCTTGATTTCATTGGCTCAGCAACCCTCCATGCCTTAAGAAAATGTCTCATTAGAGTGTTTTGCATGATCTTCCCCATTAGGGGTAAATTCCATAATCACAGATTCTCGGATAGGCAGCTGGTAGGTTACCTTGAGAGTTTAGCCATCAGCAGGCACCAGCATGGAATGAATATCTCTGTTTTAATTTTTGTAGGAACCATCACTTAAACTACGTAGAAGAATGCTAGCTTGATGGGCTATTTCTTACATCTTGAGCAGTTGTTACCAAGAGCTCCCAGAAGTAGACATAATTCAAGGAGCTGGTGCAACTTATGGCAAGGGGTTAGCATCTGAAGGCATTCAGGACTTGCCACCTCAAAATATGCTACTTTGGCATATTGATTATTTTGAGCTGCAGGCTCTTGAGATAGCAGATGCAGGAAAGTTCTCTGACCTTCCTTGTCTACCTAAAAGCAGGGCATAAGTTTCTTGTGAGAAAGATACCCTCCCTGTACCAGAAAGAGAAAAATGTCCATATTATAATGAGACTGGGAATTGAGGCTGAAATGGATCTCTACAAACAAACTTACTAAAATCACCTTCTCTTCCAAGCTTTACCCCTCTAGGTATCTCCTAGTCACTTCCCACAACTTACTGCCTCTATCCCAAACTCTTTGTCTTATTTCTTACAATTTATTGTTTGTCTAAAAGGTATAAGAGTTTTCTGTTCCAGTCACTTCTTCAGGTCTTCATTCTCTTGTGAAAGCCTCCATGTACATTTAAAATTCTAATAAAATGTGCATGCTTTTCTCTTGTTATCTGTCTATTTCAGTTTAATTCTTAGGCCCAGCCAGAGACCCTAAGTGAGTAAAGGAGAATTTTATGTCCCCATATACCAAAAAAATAATACCATATCGGAACGAAAATTGGTGTGAAACTCTAGAAAGGGGACCAGACCATGGGTCAGGAGGTTGGAAAGTAAGGTGGGACACAAGATGGTTTGGGCAGTAGGCCCTGAACCAAGTACTAGGTCTGTTTCTTTCTGAATGCTGCCTGGGATGGGGCAGGCAAGCAGGAGGGGTGAGGGGCAGGCAGGTCATAGGCTTAAAAACGTAGAATTAAGTTAGACTCCCAGTCCAGTTAGAGAAAAGTGAGAATGCATCTGACACAAAGGAAAAATGTTTATATTCATTAAACTTGAAGATAATATAAAAGAAATACATGCACATGGATTTTTAAGAAAAATAGTAACATTTGACAGCATATTAAAGTTAAGGGGGTTTCATAACTGTAGTTTAAGTATGGACAGAGGGCTTTACTACCAGTTTATATATAGCTGTTGTTTTTAGATATTTTATGACAGAAAAAAGAGCAGATTAAAAACAAAACCCACACACACCTAATGAGACTTATTTAAATCTGCAACTGAACCACTGTGTTGTAGAAACACAGGCTTACCTTGGAGATACTGTGGGTTCATTTGCAGACGCACCACAATAAAGTGCGTCATAATCTTTTTGCTGGTGGAGAGTCTTGCCTCTAATTTGCAAAACATGCAACATCTGTGAAATGCAATAAAGCAAGGAGCAATTAAAACAAGGCATGTCTGCTCTGGGATTGTTCTAACAGGTGAGCCTGACTTGGAAAGTCTTCTTGGCAATGGTGAGATATGAAAACACATTCTGAAAGATCTGAAGACATCTGCATGATAAGTTGCAGATGTCTTCCCAATAAGGAGAAATGCAGAGGGAAAGAGAGGGAGCAGGTATTTGAAAGAAGGAAGAATCCTGTGCTGTCTCATGGCAGTCACAGTCCAGATTCCTCTATAGCGTTGGTTTGCCAAGCCTAGTAACAGACAAGTAGTTTCCCTGAGTCAAATAAGAAGACTGCCTAGAAAAGGAGAAGAAAATCCTCCTTGTGGGCCTCAGTGCTTGTCTCACTTTCCACAGCAGCTGCCTCTAGCAAGAAGCCCACCAGTGTTTCTCCCTTGGGTTCAGTCTGGTTAACTCCCTGCAGGCCTTGTTAATGATCTCTGTGCCAGCTCTTTCCTAAGGTGCTGGTTCTCAGACTTTACCATTAGAATCACCTGAGGGTTTGTTAAAACACAGATTGCTGGCCCCTCTCCCGGAGTCTCTGATTCTGTAGGTCTGAGGTGAAGCCCAGGAACGGGCCTTTCAAACATGTCCCCTGGAGGTGCTGTTGCAGACGGTCTGATAACCACTCTTGAAGAAACGCTGCTTTCATAAACACAGTAGAGGCATTTTTTATACTAAATTATTATTATTATACTAAATGATTAACAAAAGTGGATCCTTTTTTTCTTCTTTTTTTAAAGATTTTATTGGGGAAATGGGGGAGGGGAACAGTGTTGGAGAATTGGGGAAGGGGACCAGCCAAGTTGTTGTTCTTCAATCTTTGTTGTAGAGGGTGCCAGTCGCCATCTGGCTTCCCGTCGGGCAGTTCAGCTCAAGGTGCTGAGTTCAGTCTTAGTTGTAGGTGGGCATAGTCACCATCCCATGAGGGAGTCAAACTCGGCAGCCTTGTTGTTAAGAGCGCACACCCTATCCACTGAGCCATCCGGGTGGCTCAAGATGCTTAGTTGTGGGCGGGCGTAGCCCACCATTGAACAGGCAATCTTGTTGTTACACCAGCTGAGCCATCCTGCCACCTGTTGGCAGCTCAGCGATAGCTCAGCTCGGGTGCAGTGTCACTGACCCATGTGGGAATTGAACCGGTGGCCCTGTTGTTCAGAGCTCGTGCTCTTAAAACTCTTAAGCAACTGAGCCACTTGGCTGGCCCTGGATCCTTTTTTGTTATCCTGGATTATGTTTTTCAATCACTTCTTACTGCTCGATGCTGGTGGTTAAATATTTTCTAAAACTTTACTCTGAATCACAAAATCGCTGAATCTCGTGTTGGACAAACTTTACTGGGCCCGATTTTCTAATTTCTTCCCTCCCCCACTTTCTTTATTGGGCTTTAAATACAATTTCACCCATTGTGCTTTAATCCAGTATCCTTGGACTTTATGGTCAAGACCCCGTCTTCCTCTCCAGCCAGCTTTTTATCAGTGACAGTTCCTTCCATGTTTTTCCTCTTCAACAGGTAAGGATGATAGCCTAAGAGATAGATTGACTTTAATAAAAGCGCTGTACATAGCCAATATTATTTAATCAGTCCTACTTATGGCCACCTCCCATCTCAGAAAAGGTACTCCTCGGTCCTCGTTGATTTTCTATTCTGTCATTTGATCTTCTATTGTTTTGTTTTTTTTTCCCTCTGTGGAAAACATGATATAATTCTTGCAGATGAGAACCCAGTTTAATGCCTTCTTTTTTAGTTTTTAAAATTCTTTTTTTCCTCCAGGTTTATAACATTCTAGCATCACTACTTTCTGTCATAGGGTCTCCATACTTGTTCTTTTGTTTGCTTGTTTGTTTTCATTATATGTATTTTTTATTGTGGTAAGGTGTATGTAAAGTTTACCCTTTAAACCAATTTAAAGTGTATAATTGAGTGACATCAAGTAGATTTACAGTGTTGTGCTGCCCAGAACTTTTTCATCATCAAATAAACTCTGTACCCACTAAACTTCCTATTCTGTCCCCCAAGTCCCTGGTAACCTGTATTGTATTTTGTGTCTCTATGATTTGTCAATTCTAGGTACCTCATATATGTGGAATTCTATAACACAATATTTGCCCTTTTGTGTCTGGTTTATTTCCCATACCATAATGTTTTCAAGGTTCATCCCTGCTTGCTTTTATAATTTGCATTTCTTAGATCTCTGCAATAGAGCTTGCATTTTCTTTAGTGCCCTTTCCATGAGAAAGTTCTTTTTATTTCATGACCACCTTTTCCCCACGTTATTTTTGAAAACTCGAACGATCATGAAGGTAAGGATTCTAGGATCATTTCTTTTATTTGGCTTTTCCTAGCAGGTGAATACAGTTTTGTGACTCATCATGTGATTCATGTGCGGGCGTCACTGAAATCTCTGCTATCATCTTGTTCCATAACCAGCCACAGCAAGCAGAGTTTTCCAAAAACAGTTTAGGTGTCTCTTAGAATTTTGCCAAGAGCTCTCTTTCTAGATCCTTCTAAGAGTAACCTTTAAAGTTGGGGGCCTCAGAAATAAAAAGCAATTAAAGTGCCTATTAGAAGTTGTATTGCTTGGACTTTATCTGCCAGACAACTTCCTCTTTAGCATTCTGTCATTAACATGGCTTTTGTTTTTTGTTTTTTTTTCTCTCTCAAATAATGACTGAACAGAGTGGATGCTAGGGTTGTGAAAAAGTTTAAAAGACAGGTGAGTCTTTTAATCACCTTTGCTTGTATTTTGTTTCATGGGCTGGTGCCTTACATCAGACAGGGCAGCCGCACTTGAACCTTTGCCAAATGTGAAAAAAACACAACCTGATAGATATGGTTAGAACAGTGTGATAGCATGGCCTTTGATTACCAGGAGTTTAGGCTGTGAATCAATTTGTTACAGTTGTGGAAAATTTAAAGGTGCCTCCCCACAAAAGTAAATAGTACAGCGGAAGCACTAGATCAAAAGAAATCACGTTTTTACCAGCAATCAAGTTTTTACCAGCAACAATGGATTCCTTTTCCATCGTTTGAAAGTCACACTAACTTATAAACGGCTTGAAAATTGGGCTTGTGCTCAACCGCTGCCCAACCATCAGTTAGATATCAAGCATCCCATCAATCAAAAGTGCTTTCGTTTGTAATGATCTCATTAATGTACATACAGCTGTGCACACATGATTTGCAAAAGTCTAGGCAGCTACTAGTTTCTTCTTTTAAAAAATTGTTTATTAAAAATAATGCCTATTGGTACTAATTAGTAAAAGATGTTTGAACAAATAGTACTCTCCTTTGGTATTTGACAAACTCCATGCACTCTATTTTTTTTTTTTTTTTTAAGCTGAGCCATCCTGACACCAGTTGGCAGCTCAACGGCTACTCAGCTCAGGCTGGGAATTGAACTGCTGTTGCTCAGAGCTCAAACTCTTGAGCGAGCTCTTAACCAACTGAGCCACCCAGCCAGCCCCCATGTACTCTAAGAACAGGGACTTTGTGTTGTTTTTTCTGGATTTGCAATTTCATAGGTTAAGCTTAGCTTCATTTCCAAGTTCAAAGTTACTTAAGGGTAAACTGGGGAAAATAAATAACATCATATATTCCTTTTGTAGGCAGATAAAATAGAAAGCACTTTTATAGAAACGTCAGTCTTGCATACTCATTTTGCCTCAACCCTTGATATTACATCCCCCCACCCATCATCATGCATTTAGAAAACTGTTTTTAAAATGGCCCAGATTACAGAATCAAGGAATGAAGAGATGGTTGTCAAGGGTGGAACTTTCACCCCTCTGCCTATCTTGAAACTCAGCTTCCTATTAAGAACATGAAGCGTTTAATCCATCTTGCTGCTTTGTTTTCCAGCCTGGGACTTCTTAATACAGGCATACCTCACATACAGAGGGTGCCAAAAAAATGTACACACATTTTAAGAAAGGAAAAAACTGTATTAAAATTGTAATACAATGAATGATGCTAGCATTCATTTGATTAACACCATCTTTTGAGCGAACGTCATACTACACACTGCTACCTTAATTCAATTCAGGTTTGAAAAGTAATACATAGATAACATCTCTTAAAATGTGTACATTTTTTTGGAGCCCCAGTATATTGCAGGTTCTGTTCTAGACCTCCTCAATAAAGCAAATATTGCAATAAAGCGAGTCACGTGAATTTTTGTGTTTTCCAGTGCATATAAACTATACTGAAGCTTATTAAGTGTGCAGTAGCATTGTGTTTTTAAAAATGTACATACCTTGGTTGAAAAATACTTTATTGCTAAAAAATGCTGAGCATCATCTGAGCTTGTTGGAAAAATGGTGCTGATAGACTTGCTTGATACAGGGTTGCCACGAACCTTCAATTTGTAAAAAAACAATACCTGTGCAGTGCAAGGAAGTGAAGCTCAATAAAATGAAGTATATCTGTAGGTATTAAAAGGAAAGTTTTCCCTCTATTTCTAGTTCTTTATTCGGTCTCTAATACCTTGAGTACTAAGATAATTTGATTCAATTTAGTAAAATAAGCATTGGAAAGAAGCTTTGTCAAGACCCACTTCCTAATTGAAGATTAATGAGTGAAGTTTCTTCTTGTAAAAAGTTCATAATTTGGCAAGGGTAAGGTGGGAAATAAGGTGAATATACACATGTGGTTAAGGCAAAGAAGATAAATACCAGGGATGGTACAAAGTGCTCTGAAGCTTTGAAGGCGGGAAGAGAGCGAGCGCCCTGGGAGGGTAAGGAGAAAACGTAGGTGGTGGCGTTTGCGATGGATCTTAGGTCTCCACGTTAATGTGCCTCAGGATGACCTGGAAGGGTTGTTAAAACACAGATTGCTAAGCCCCACACCTAACATTTTTGATTTAGTAGGTCTGAGGTAGGGCCTGAAAGTTTGTATTTTTCCAACAAGTTCCCAGGTGATCCTTGAACTGCTTTTTCAGAGACAACACTTGAAGAGCCGTTCCTCTGAGAGAGACTGAAAATGGATGGAGTGTGTTTAACCCAGAGAAAGAGAATGAGCACACTGGAGAGGCAAGACACGGAAAGGTACTTCAAATAATAATAATAATAATAATAATAATAATAATAATAATAATATAATAGGTATTTTTTGGAGTTATTTCAATTTTGCTAGTGAGGAGATTAAGTTTCAGGTTGATTTTAAAGAACCTGGTTCAAGTAACAGAGCCAATAAGCCCCAGAGTCAGGAGCTGAACCCATGGAGGCAACAACCCAGAACATTCTGTCTGACTGCTATGGTACTGTAGGACGCAGTACCTCTTGGCAGACACAGGCATTGTGTCGGGCAGTAATGGGAACTAAGGCTTGGCATGGAGGTTGCCGCTGTATTTCAGAGGGCTTACGTGCCAGGGTAAGGAATTTTGTACTTAGGATGTTAATAGAGAAGTCTCAACAATTTTTTATCAGGCTTGAGTAGCAATGTATATAATCAAGAAAGCAGAAGGATGGAAGCCTAGTGAGACGTCTTTTATAACAGCCCAAGTGAAAGAAAAGGAAGTAAACCAGGGCAATTGCAGTAGGTGCGAAGCAGATAGAGGTGAGAGCAGTTTTGTATAAATAGGTAGGCCGTTCTCCATCTTTCTACCACCTGTGATTTCATGATTTGAAAGTTGGTCATGAAGAAAACTGGATTTAAGTAAACCAAGGAAATGTGTTCCGTATGAGATCAGTATTTTCCCCGTTATAACATATCCAGATTGGAACTAACCATTCTTTATCACCAAGGGCTCAGAATCCCAGCCCTTGTCCTGCTTGGGATAAGAAGCACCGAACTTGAGCCCATGAGCAGATGTTTAAAAATATCTTACTGCTTTCAGTTGAGGGGCTTTGTAACTGTGTCCATATCCAAGGCCAATCCCATGGTGAACATTTTAAATTGAAGTCTGATGTCCATTCAAGTTTTAGGAATTCTGATGCCATCAAAAGCCAGTTGGAATATTTTACTGATCCTGAGATAATAAGTTATCATACTGATGGAAAATAATTCCAGCCCAAACAAAGAAATCCATGTGGTTTAATGAGTCAATACATAATTTCCACTAGGTATTTGAAAAATCGAATATATTTTTCCTGCCTTTATGGTTCTAAAGACACAGGATTTTACTTCCTGATAATGTGTGTGGGTGCCTGTGAGTAGGAGTCAAGGAGAACCCTAGGTTCAGGTCTGGGTATTTTGGAGGAGGGGGAGTATTGACCAAGACAGGAAGTTCAGAGAAGGGCCCCCTGGGAAGAGTTGGTGCTGAAGGTGAGTTGTATTAGTACAGGCATGTTGGGATGTCTCTTTAACTCAGGACCCTAAGGCAGGAAATTGTTACCAGTCAGCCCTTATGAAAAGAAGAAGTATTGAGACTGTTTGAAGTCCAGAAAAAACAACACATTGGTATTTCTCTGCAAAGTGAAATGTTTTAACCTGATAAACTTTTAGAATGCAATTTTCAGATTAAATAAAACTTTTGTAATGCAGATCTAGAAGTTCCACTTAAACTTGCTGCCATTGCTCATACCCTCAAGCCCCATGGAAAAAGATGAAAACAATTAGGCTTTCTTTTAGACATGCCAGTGGTAGCTGACCTGTCTGTGGTGGTGAAATAGTTAAGCAGCAGGCCTCCTGGAGCTGGAGAACGCTCTCAATAAGGTGATCTGTTTATGCACAATAGGGTCTAGTTTCTCCCTCCCAGTAGCCTCCGGCCTGAAAGTTAGTCATTCTCACACTATCAAAAGCTGGGGTGCCTGAGAAGAGTCATTCACACAGGCAGGTGTTTCACAGAGGTCCCAGGAAAGGAGAGTCTCTCTCTCTCTCTCTCTCTCTCTCTCTCCCTCCCTTTCCCTCCCTCTCTCTCCCTCTCTCCCTCTCTCCCTCTCTCCCCCACCCCCCCCACCTTCTCTCCCTCCCTCTCCCTCTCTCAGTATCTGTTCCATAGCAAATTAGGAAGAACAATAGCTAGAGCTATAAACACAATCCATTATGTGTATTTAGTAATTGGATTTTGAGCAATTACCATCAAAGATACTGAATACCCATTGTACATTAGCAAGTCCAACTTGCAAAAGGAAATAATAGCTCTGACACATACTAAGGTAGGAAGCGGAGTGGCACGAAACAGGCATATCAGCAGATAACCTGCAACCAAGATGATGGAAGCAAAAGAGGACACAAGTAAGACCATAGTTGGTATGTGATTCTCAGCCCACACGTAACTAAATGAGTCACCCTTCCCCAGTGAGGAAGAATTAGAATACTAAAAGGGAGTAATTCCAATCTTCAAATTTCTTACAGTGAATATGTGTAGGTACCCATGTATGTGCTTAAATTAGCTATTAAGGAAGCTCTTTTTTGTTTATTCCTCGGGGGTGGGGGGGGGCTGGCTGAGTCATCAATAATTATATTTTTGCTTTCTTCTTAGAGTCCACGACGAGCAGTGTCTTTTGGGTGTTGCTAACCAGACTAGGTGGATCCAAGCAGCAATTGCAGCCCAGCCCTTGGTACCCAGCACAGAGGAACCAGGGAGCATCCCTGCACGCCTAGAGCTGCAGGAGCACTTCACCAGAGTCAGGGCCCAACCTGGAACAAATGGGAGCTTTAGGAATGAACTTTTAGTTCAAGGTTAACCAGAGAGACTGCAGCTGGGCAATGCAAGTGGTTCTATTTTGTAATCAAAAGGTGTTTTTTTTGTGTGTGGTTACCTGACTTAGTTACTAAATGGCTTGCATGAAATAACATGCAGTATTTTGCAGTTGCTGTGCAATTAGCTTATATCATCACCATGCAGTCAAAATATAAAGAGAAAATACAGGAAGAAACTATTAACAGCAATTTGTAACAAAGATGTCTGGAATAAGAACACAATGCTTGTTACCACTGGCTCTTATGTTAATCACCTAATTGCAAATTGGCTTTCATTAATGCGTGGATACCACTGAAATAATCTTATACCTTCTCTATTGTGATATCCTGCTATTTACATTTATATAGAACATGCCTGTACATACAGGTTTGTTTTTTTTCTTTCCACAGGCATTTAATGGCTCTATTTATTCCTTTCTGTTTGGAGGCAGAGAAACCACGTTAGTGAACCATGGGGCTATATTCTGAACCCGTAGCTCATAGATGGAATAGAATATAAAAACGGAAGCATTCTTGAAAGCAATGTATAAATCTTTATTCACAGAAATGCCTCCCACAAAGTCCAAAGTTTTGGAGAGAAGATGTATATTTGCTGCCTTTGAATATTGCTCTTACCACGGTCCATCTTGGCACTGTGACCTTCTCACCTTAAAGAGTGTCAGGCTTAACGCCACCCTTTGCTTGCTACATTTCAAAGGTGACGGTCATCTTCCATTCATGAAAAAGAACAATAACCACACAGCATTTGTGGCACTTGATAGTGTATAAAACCAAGAGAATAGTCTGCGTGATCCTCCCTGGGCCCTAGGTGTGTATCATTCCAGATACTCCCATGGGACACACAGTACCAGCGCCTGAGTAAGTAAGGCTTAAGTGACCCAGTTTTGAGTAAGGGAGTTATTACAGTGTTTTACCAAAGGCACAGGACAGACACACGAATGGGGCCGGGCAGGTAGTCTCTTCCTTTCCCTCCTCTAATGCAAACCTATTCATTATAGAAAAGCATGTAGTGACAAAGTGTAAAGAAGAAAACAAAAACGACCCTTTCCCTCACCCTGAAATAATTGACATCAATACTTTGCAATTTTTTTTAATCCATGCTTTTTCAAGATTTTTTATTTATATCTTTTGATACTTCTGGATATATTTATTATTTCATTATCTAAAATTGAATGTATATATTCATCAGCAGAAAACGTTCCAAGCCTATAAATAGGACTAGTTTTTTAAAAGTCAAATTTTAGGTCAATATAGCATATGGATTACAGATGATCTTTTTGTGAACTATTGGAAAGAAAATTGCCTGTCTATTCCATTTGTTGCATAATATAGTACCATTATAGCTCTCTGATTTTTATGTTATTTATTTATTTTTTAAAAGAGTATATTGGGGAATTGGGGAAGGGAACGGTATTAAGGAATTGGGGAAGGGGAACATTGTATTTTTCCAGGACCCATCAGCTCCAAGTCAAGTTGTTGCCCTTCAATCATAGTTGTGGAGGGCACAAGCTCAGCTCCAAGTCCAGTCGCTGCTTTCAATCCAGATAATTGCGGGGTGGGGGTGGGGTGGGAGAGGCGGGAGGGGCGTGCAGCTTACCATCCGATGCGAGAGTCGAACCCGCAACCTTGTACAGCTGAGCCATCCTGCCACCCATTGGCAGCTCAGTGGCTGCTCAGCTCGGGCGCAGCTCGCTGGACCATGTGGGAATTGAATTGGCAACCCTGTTGCTCAGAGCTCACGCTCTAACCAACTGTGCCACCCAGCCAGCCTCCTTTATGTTATTTTTTAAGGCTTATTGAAACACCATGTTCACCTTCATATTGAACCTATTCCCATAATTTTCTTGTTCATAGCTCTAGGTTATATACTTTAATTATCTTAATGAATTTATTTTTATTTGAAGTGTATTTAATTCAAAATTTATCTTTTATGAAAAAAAAGTGTCTTATAAAATGTAACCTTAAAAAGATAGAGCACACAAGCAATGAATAAGCAGGGTGAAAGAAACAGCTCTGAACGCAGTTTGAGTTCAGAGTCTTAGGTGTTTAGTTAAAACCCTCTTTATTTTCTGAACCACAGAAAAGGAATTAATTTTTGTTGTTTTAAAAATCACAGCTAAACCTCATACCAACAAAATAGTTTCTTTCCTTGCAACTGAAAAAAACCAGTTTCTCTAAATGAAAGGTTTTTCTCTTTTTTCTCATGGGCTGAATTTGTCATCATGTATTTCGAAGGCTTTCTGAAAATTAACAACATACCAAATAAGGTGATTAACCTGTTTGGCTCCCATTGAAAACTTTATAACTGAAACGACAATGATGAAGACAGGAAATAGGTTTTTGTTGATAAATTCAAGTGGGATGAATAAAAAATTCAATTATTGGTCAGTATACTTTTTTCCAAATTAGGTTTTCCAGGCTTTCTGGTGATTTTCACAAATAACTGGTATTCTGGAAGTACACAGGTTAATCTGGCTTCCAAACTAGTGTTCCTCGGCTACCCTTAAATCAGGTGTTTTAGCTTCAGCCTAAACCAAGTTCACCCAGCATTCAGGCACATGTGAATAAGATGTGCTAAGAGGAGGTAGGGGATATGCTGTGTTCATGAGTCTCCTGAGCAAAATTTCAATCCCACAAAGAAAGGGAGACCAGATGGAGAAAAGGGTGACATTGTAGCTGCCCCCCTCAAATTAATCCCCATTATCCAGACTAATCCCTGGTTCCTATGTAACAGTTCCAGCAGTTTTGCCCAAAAGGGGCCTGGCAGTTTCAGGAGACTGCGCCCTTGGCTCAGAGTAGTGCACTCATAGTATGGGGCATTGCACCAATTGGTGGGCATGTGTGGTGGTGTCCATGGTAGGGGTGAATATCCCCCTATATCTAGGACGGGAGAGGACGAGCACCAGTCGGGCCATCATGCAGACTGGTGTGTGGAACACAAAGGAAGCAGTTCTTGAGAATTTTCATACTTCTTGGGAGGAACTGAGGCTGATGGGCAGAGTCAGGAATATTGTGATAATTGTTTTGACAATAAATTATTTTCTGGCTGCAGTAACATGGGAAACACGAGTTTTCTCCCGACTTAGAGTTTGTGCTAAAATAAAAATGAGCCAAAGTGAGTGGAAAAAGCACCTGAGGCATGGAAATATGATTACATGTGCATTTTAGACACCATTTATTGTATAATTTTTATTTTAATTTAAGTGAATTGGTTGTATCTTACTGATCTGCATGGTTTAGGTCCAGTTGGATGTTAGGCAGGAAATGTCACATTAGAATGTTTATCAACTGATTAAAAATATGATTTATTAAAATATTATGGTGTAAGGAACACTGTTCAATGCCATGGAACAAATACATTAGAGGGATGGAAGCAAGATAGTGTGACAAATTCATCCCTGTATTGAATGTACTCATAACTGCGTTATGCAGTTGTCTAGACCGTGGGCTGACTACCAGTCATTGCTAAATGTTGTTACAAGTGCTGCTTCTTATAGAAGGAATATGTCTTTCTGGCTTCCATTGACAGGGCTGTGTAGTGCTGGGTTCCCATAAGCAAGAGTTTAGATGGGGATTCAGAGCCCAGGTAGCTGGCAGAAGAGGTCAAAAGGGCAGCTTTGTAGTTTGGGACATATAGCTTATCAGGAGAGTATGTTAGATGTAAGCTCCTGAGGCTAGGGGCCTTATTATTATAGTTTTGTTCACTGTTGTAACCACTGCACCTAGAATGGTGGCACTGATTAACTAATTGTTGAATGAATGAATGAACTTGTAATGGGGGCATCTCATGTAATTCAGGTGGAGGAAAACCAGCTTAAAGCAAAGTATATGAGCACAATTCATCTTCAGCTGAAATTAGAAGTTGTCAAACTGGGAAAGGACCCTGCAATCTTCTTGCCTAGGAGGTAAGGAAGATGGTTTTGGTCCAGGGGTAGCTGGGTAGAAATATTTAGATCAGGACCACGGAAAAAATTTGTAAACCTGTTGGACTCTCCCTCAGCTATTTACGTCCCTGGTTGCCTCCCTCATGCCTGTAGTCAAAAGAGTTTTGTAGAATACCTACTATGAGAAGGGATACAGGCTCCGTAGTTCTATGAGTTATCTGTTGCTGAGTAACAAAGTTACCCTAAAACGTAGCAACTGATTTTGGAATTCAGGTGCAGCTTGACTGGGTGGTTCTGGCTCAGAGTCTTTCACAAAGATGCTGCCAAGCCGTTGGCTGGGACTGCAGTCATGTCAAGGCTGGACTGGGGTTAGTGAGTCTGCTCCAGGCTCACTCATGTGGCTGTAGGTAGGCTGGCGGGTTCTGGTCATGTGACCCTCTGTGTAAGGTTGCTGAAATGCAGCACACTGCTTTTTCCCAGAGTGGGGTGTGTGTGTGTGTGTGTGAGAGAGAGAGAGAGAGAGAGAGAGAGAGAGAGAGAGAGAAATACTGAGTGCCAAAAGGAAGCCACCGTCTTTTGTAACCTAATCTCAGAGGTGACATCCTGTTACTTTTGCCATACTCTATTGTTCACACAAACCACCTTTGGAACAGTGTGGGAGACAACTGTTGCAGCGTGTGACTGCCAGGACACAGGGATCCTTGAGAGCCATCTTAGAGGCCGGCTGCAGTCATAGCTGTGAGCACTGCCCCAGAGGGGTGTGTGGCCCAACAGCGAAAGGAGGGGCCTAACCTCAGCCCTCAAGGAGTTTATAGCCTATGCTGGGCTACAGAAATATTTGAATAAAATTTTTTAGGTTAATTGTCTACAAGTTCAAAATTATATCTGAAATTCCCTCTCCTAGGTTTCTGCTACAGTGTGGCGCATACTGTATGGAATGCTGAGTGGTTCTGAAGCCATCTAACTTGGGGCCCAAGGCCAAAAATTTCTTTCCAGTCTAGCATCTCTGGATCAGTCTAATCTGTGCAAACTGTTAGAAGGGGCAAAAGGAAGTCCCTTTTTCAATTCAGCTTTTATTAGTTACTTTTCTAGGCAAGAGTAAGGGTAAATCATTTTGGTCACTCCAAATCTCATTTTCTGGCTTGTATCACCTTTTCTTTGTTAGGATTATCTTCGCAGTAGGGATTTCCTTCAAGCTCTAATACAGTCTCTTAAAAAATGCTGTGTTTCCAATATTGCCATGAAAGACATGAAAGACAGCTCGAGGAATAGAACTAATAATGTTGTAAATATTTTGTAGGGCGTCAGATGGTCACATGTCTTGTTAGGGAGACAGCATCATGGATGGGGTAGAGGCTTGATCACTGCACTGTACACCTGAAGCTGTTGTATAATATTGTATGTCAACTATAAGTGAATATATATATAGTCATGGGACGTGGAGTATAGTGTGGGAGTGGAGTCAAGGGAATTGTAATTGATATGTATGATTGTTGGGGGAAATGGGGCGGCGGATTGGGGGAGGGGGGTTGTCACTTCGAGGGGTAAAAAGTATAACTGTTGCACTGTGTTGTACAGCTGAAACTAATTCTAAAAAATGTGTATTTCACAATAAAAAATAATAATAATAAAAATGCTGTATTTCCATCTAGAAAGCATTACATCCACACAGTCTCCCAGCTTGTGCCAATAATTCAAAAGCCATCTGACAAGTGAGGACATGCACCTGCGTCCCAGTGCACCTGGGAAGATGTCTGAGCTCAAACCAGTAGGGCTTTTCCATGGGGTAAACTCAGGAGACTGGCCCCTGTGTGGAGCGTCTCCATCTTCTCCGGGCTTGGCGAGGTGTTGCTCCTATGGGAAAGTTCTGCAAAATAAGAGTCCCAGAACGTCCTGTTTTAGATCCACGTTTAAGCGCGCCCATGGGCTCAGTCCAGGATTCAGCTTGGACAGGTGTCCTCCTCCCCCGTCTGGATGGGCAGTGCCCCATCTCCACCCCAGCCAACCTTAACACCACAAGGAGTTAAAGCTGTCCCTCTGCACACAGCCAAGCAACACCCGAGCAAGGGAGGCTCTAATTGCTTCTCTAGAACTGGCAGGGGGATCGGTAGAGGCAGTGACCTAATAGTTTTTTTCCACAGCTATTGTTGTGATCGCATGGGAGCTATCAGTAGTCCTTATAATCTAAACTTTCCAAATCCTGGCAGTTGTCACGATTTAAGTTTGAATTAATGTTTAAGCCAATGGGTTCCTTAGATCTTTGAAGCCATTAGACAATAAAAGCGAGAGTTGCTAAACTTTGGCTGTTTTGTAAAACCACATAGTAGATAATCATTACAATGGCATTTTCCATTGCTTAGATAAGCCCTGCTGGTATGGATTAATAAACTTGATCTCAGCATTCTGAGGAGGGAGCCGTGTTATTAAACCACTGAGTTTGACTCTGGCAACGTAATTCTTCAGTCAAGTTAACGTAGGAAAACCCGATTCT